ACGCACATAAACACATACACATAACCTCTGTTTTAATGTGGATTCGCTGCGGCAGTGATTTAAAAACGTATAAAAACGGCAATTACAAAAACTCGGCTCGCCTCGGCCGACGTCATACACGATCTGCGGAAAATTTTTTTCTTCCGATGGCAAAGTGGAGCTGCAACACGATGACTGGCGGAATTCAAATGTACTAAACGAGGGGACCGGGGGAGGGCGAGGTGAGTATGCTGCGAGTTGGGTACGAGACAGGGGGAGGAAGGCTGGGATAGGTGGATTTAATGGTTGCATGATGTAGATTCTTTGTCGGTTGGCTAGGTCATGTACGTTTGGAGAGGGAGAAAAGGAGGGGTGATGGATGGAAAGGATGAGGAAATATGCTCCTGATTTTTGCTGTGGATACCCGGGTAGGGAGAGGGTGAATTGAATTGGAAGGGAAGGAAGTGTTGATGGAGAGGAACTCAGATGTTGCTTTGTAAGCAGAATTCGAGGGAAGGATAGAGAAGGGGGACGAAGATATAAGTTACGAGCTCGAGGCAAGAACTGGAGATAGCAGTAAAGAGAAAATAGACAACACAGCACTACAAAGAAAAGTAATTTGAAGCAAACCGGAGCCTATGAATAAATGCAAAAAAGGCAAATTAAAAAAAAAATCGGAACCTATAGATAAAAGCGAAAAAAAAACTGAGTCTATGCGGGTGGAAATTATTAAAAATCCGTCTTCAGTAAGGAGTTTCCTCATTTATGAAGCTGATGCTTAAGTATAGCTGAGAGGGAATAAGTTTCGCTGTAGAATGTGAACAAAAACAGGGATAGACTGGATGCATGGAGATGAAGTCAATCTTTTGCATCTGTGAGATTTTGAAGGCAAAAAGCGGAGGTATAACTAATGCGCACAATTGCAGGCTACCGAAGAAAACACACTGGAATTTTGCGGAATTTTTGTGTAAATCTAATCGAATTTGCTCGCCCTCAAATTCATCTAAACATCAGCTTCATAAATAGGGAAACCTCTTACTGAAGACGGGTTTTTGTATGACAGTTTCCATTCGCATGAGCTCGATTTTTGCTTGCTTTTGCTTTTTTTCGCTTCCATTCGTAGGTTCTTATTCTCTGATTTCACTTTTTTTTTTTCGTTTTTGTTCATAATTTCAGGCTTGCTTTAATTTATTTTTCTCTGCAGTGCTGTCTTGGCTTCTTTTTCTCTTTAGCACTGCCTACAGTTTTTCCCCGAATTCCTGACTAGTACCCTTGTTCCCTTCCTCCATCCTGTCTCCAATTCTTGCCCTTCAAAGCCGTATCAGGACACCCATCACTCACCATCCCCCAAACCACTGCCATCATTTTTTACCTCGGGCTCCTGACTACTGTCCTTGCCCCCTTCTCTGTATTGTCTCCAAATCCTGCCTCCCGGGCAGCATCCGTGAATGCATCAATCACCACTCTCAACCACGTTCAACCCCTACCACCACCTGTCCCCCTCCTTTCCTCTCAACTATTTCCCTTCCCAACAACAGCCTTCTCCCAACCATGTAGTCCAAACTCAAGCCCCGGTCAAACTTTCCCAGTGCTCGCTGGTAGAATGCCAAACAGTGCCTGCAAGCTACACCTGAAAGTAGTGTTAGCAGACAAACAAGGGCATCTAAAAATTTTTTGCAGGTCATGTATGACTCCGGCCGAACCGAGCCATGTTTTTATGCGTTTTTGCATATATGCAAATTGCAAAAATGGGTATTGAGAAGAGGCTGTCTGTGTGTGTGTTCGCACTTTTTGTCACCCACTTTCAACCTCGGGAACCAGATAAGCTAGAAGGCTGAAACTTTGGGATTGTACGTGCCCTTCCCGTTCTAATATCATCCCCTGCGGACGCCTGGGTGCCGCGTAGGGAAGTTTTGAAAAAATATGCAAATTTTTTGGCGGGAAAGTGGTCTCGGGAGCCAGACAAGGTAAGGGGCTAAAACTTTATAGGGATGTTCCCTGCGCATATGTTAGCTAAAGATTTCAAATTCAGCCTCCAGGTATGCATGGTACTTACATAAGGGCGTATGAAAGTTTCTGCGAGAAAATTACTACTCAAGCCAGAAAAGCTAGAAAACTGAAATTTTTGAGGGAATTTTTGGCTTCTTACGAACGGGCACTCAAATGTTTTGGCGGGAAAATTTCTCACTGAACGGCTAGGTTACTTTTGAAGAAAGACCGTTAAATGAAAATTCTACATTTACATTATATAAAATTTATGGTGATTTATGCTAGTGGTCGCAAAAAGTAAGTGTAAAGCAACAACCATTCATGCAGCTAATGACCTGAGTACTTCAAGTCCGGTGCAAAAACGCATGATCGCACGGACCTGCCCGGTGCATTCCAGTGTGGGTTGTAATTGTTATAATCATTGGCGACGCGCACTGAGCGGGCCCGTACGATCGTGCGTTTTTGCAGTGTTTCGTGCTGCAATAAGATCGCTCGAAATTCCGCTAGCTAGAAACCTCTTTTACATAGTGGTCCTCGAATTTCGGGAAGGATAATTATCCACCCTATACTTGGACAGGGACCATTCCCTTGAAATCCCAGGTTCCCAGCTTTCTCAGTTCCCGAGTTGCCCAAATTCCAGCTAGAAAATTTCACGGGGCCGTATGTGCAACCACCCATAACGGGGGGCTGAATTTGATAAACTGAAGTTGTAGATGTGTTGGGAACATTTTCTGAAAGTTTCAGCCTTCTAGCTTCCCTGGTTCCGGAGTTAGCCACTTTTCCGCCAAAAAATTTCACGGGGCCGTACGTGGCAACCACACATAACAGGGGGCTGAATTTGATAAATTTAAGTTGTAGATAAGCTTGGAACATTTCCTGAAAGTTCCAGCCTCCCAGCTTTCTTGGTTCCCGAGCTTGCGATTTTCACGCCAGGAACCCTCACGGGGCCGTACGCGGGAACTATGAACCCCCGGGGGCTGAATTTGAAATCTTTGAGTTGTCACTTGGACTGGAAACATAATCCCAAAATTTCGGCTTTCTAGCTTTTCTGGTTCTCGAGTTAGCGGTTTTCCCGCTACAACTTTGAGGCGCTCAGACGCGGGGCCTAGATGTGCTTGAGGATTGGTACCGTGGTCCTGGGGTGGCACTTGGCCGGGGAACCCAGTCCCAAAATTTTGGCGCCGGAGCTTGCTTGGCTGCCGAGT